TCCGATCTGTCCACAGTGTTTTAACGAATGCTGACAAGTTTTATTTATAGGGCTTTATTGCAAAGAATAATTGCTATAAAGCTGTGTTTCTCAACCTTGACAACTTGAAGATGTCTGGACTTCAACTCCCACAATTCCCCAGCCAGCATTCGCTGGCTGGGGAATTCTGGGAGTTGAAGTCCGGACATCTTCCAAGTTGTCAAGGTTGAGAAACACTGCTTTATAGCAGTTATTCTTTGCAATAAAGCCCTATAAATAAAACTTGTCAGCATTCGTTAAAACACTGTGGAAGTTTGTTATACGAGGACTGCATATTCTGTGAACTTTGATAGTGAATGACAGGCACTGAAGCCTTTACTTTTTTACCTTTCAGTATCCCAGATTAGCCTAAAAAAATCTAATATTGATATGTGAGGATTTCTCGAAAACATTAAATATGAATCCAGAAACAAGCATGATCTAAGAGGCAACTGAATTGTGCAGGAAGGGATTGGTGGAGCCAAGCTTTAGTGTCTTATCTTTTGAACCTGAATTCAGCTTGCTCGATATTTCAAAACTACGAGTCTCCTATTTAAATAAGGTAACATCTCACTACATATTCTCCAAAAAGCTCTTTGAAAATTAGGTGAATAGGTTTACCACACACAGTGATTTCTTCCCCATCTCTGGGAGTTTTGAAATGCATCATCTATTGGTGATGATGCATGAATCCTGTTGTGTGCAGATTAGACGTGGGTGACATCTTAACTCTGTTCAACTCTGTGTGTTGTTTAAAGAAATAGAACGATGTCATTTTCGCTAACATCGCTCTAAGTTGATGGAATGCATACAATTACGGGATGCTTTGTTTCCACGAAGTGCAGAATATATAACAAAACCTATAAGTCAACTTTTAGGTATTTTCAAACAAAAAGTTTGAGAAATCTTTTTTTTTTTTTTTGCATACCTTAAATAAGGGGTCTCTTAATTCCCAGGCTGCGACTTAGGCTGTGCAAGCAATAGGCAAGCACACACCTCCATTTGTGAGTGGCAGGCACACACAAGCACTATTTGTGCAAATTGAGTTGTGTGCCACTGCTCACACGGAACCATCCTCTCCCCCCTGCCTATCTGCCAAGCTGGAAAGGTTGGGGATTGCTACCTTAAATGCTTTTACATTATAGCCCTGCAGGTATCCACTCAGAAGTCCCAAACTTCGCAGGCAAACGAGGATAGGATTGAGGTTTTACACTTGTCAGGAAAATCAATTCAAAAACTGTTTAATGACACCCTGCTTGGGTTCAATCACTCTTTCGCAGCTCTAAGAATGTTCGCATAGGATTGATTTGTGAAAACGTACCTGATCTATAACCCAAAGATTATTGAAGCATTAATTGTATCATTAGTCCAAGTTGCTCTAGTATTTTTCTAATGCAGCAATTTAAAAACATTTGGCATAGCCAAGTAATTTAGAAATATGTTTAGGCGACGTTTACTGGTGGCAAACCAAGAGATGATGCATTCCTTAGGTTTTACACTAAACCGAACCGTTCAGCTCCTTTCATTACAAATCCTGGAATATTAATTTTCAGGATTGAATATTTAGATGTATGCTTTAATCAGTATAATTTAACCCTCTTACCTCCACTTTTAAGATACTTAAAATAAAAAGATAGGTTTCTGATGTTTTATGGTAAGTATCATAAAGGTTCTTTGGCTCTTGTCACTCAGTAGGACATATCAAACCCAGAATTATATTATTCAATAGGCACCACAATATGATGGCACAGTAGAATTAATTGTAATGACTTTCAATTCTGTACTCTGACTAGCTATTAATTTGTTACCTATGGCAGTGTTTCTCAACCTTGGCGACTTTCAGTCCTGTGGACTTCAACTCCCAGAATCCCCCCAGCCAGCAGAGCTGGCTGGGGGAATTCTGGGAGTTGAAGTCCACAGGACTGAAAGTCGCCAAGGTTGAGAAACACTGACCTATGGCATCTTTTCATCAACAACCAAATGTACAGAAAATTTAGTTTCATACTTAAAAAAAGCATGACCATTAAAAAATATGAAGAATTAACTTTTATTAATCCACATATAGTTTTTGCACTTTACAGCTGAAATTCTGGAAACTCAAACACAACATCTTTGCCGGTCAGCTTCTTGTATACACCAGAAAATGTTTCAACCTGCAAACAGAATAACAAAACGTGAGCAAAAACGAGAAGCATAAAGTATTAGTGTTACTTGAAAGTAAAGAAAGAAAACTAGAAAAAAGGATATGTCAATTCTGAAATTAAAAAACTATATATGTCATTACCATATACATTTTTAAAAAGCTGATGGCCACACTCCATAATACTCTAAGATTAATTTATACATCACTGAACATTTAAAGGAACGACACATTTGGCACAAGACAAAGGTTAAGCCATGGGAGGTGGCAGCACAGAATCAATATTGATTATAGGAATCACATAAGTCAAATCTGGCTGGTACTTAAAATGATAAACCACCAGAAAGCCTCAGGGATGTCAGCTACACCATGAAATAAAATAGCTAATAAATACAAAGCAGAAACAACAACATCTGCAATTTGCCAAGAAAATAAAATGTGTCCAGATGTTCACTAAGAATGAAGCTTGAAGTTGTCTCTGCCTCCAATATTTTTATATTAGATTTAATATTTTCAAATAAAGAAGCATTGAGACTTGACAATTCAACTGATAAACCAAAAATATTTGATTTATTGTATCTCAAAGTATTAATAACAATGTATTATACAAAGTCAGAATTTGAAGCCGGACAAAGCAGAATTTCCCTTCGTTTCCCCCATCAATTCAAGTTTCATCCTACGATTAACTGTTGTAAAGTTTATATGATCCAAATGGGGGGAGTATGTATTATGACTATCCATTAAAAGAGATTACTCACAGACCTCATTACACAAATTTGACAGATTATAGATGATCTTTATTATTTTTGGTAGTTACATTCTAAAAAGTCACTGAACAATATATTAGCAAACACTGAAATCTCAGCTAGAAATGTGTGTTTGCCCCAAGTATTACATTTTGCAGCTACAGATGAATTTTGCAAGTAGGCAAATTCACAAATATGAAATCCATGAATACAAATTGACTGTAATTTAGATAGGGTCATTACACAAGTAGCATTAATTAAACATAAATTTATATGTCACCATTACACTAATTATATTAATCTAAGTTCCAATATGAAAAAATCTCAAAAGGCAGCAGCCTGAATTAGGTTACCAAAACGAGGGATAGAAATCTCCTGCCCAAAAGAGAACGATAAAACACAAGAAATGCAAAAACTATTATAAATGAATCTGTGCTCAACTGCTGTTATTAACTTCTTCGTTTTTATGCAAAACATTGTTATCAAATTGTTCCTGCATAAATGTTTTCCACGTTTAGTTTGGTTTTTGGCCTAACCCAATGCGTTGCAATCTGCCTGACATGAAGTCCACTAAAATGAGATAACAATAAACTGTGGTTTTTACTTTATATCTGTTAATTTTTGGGAGTAATTCAGGAAGACGATTCTGGAAAACTCTAGAATTTTTTTTCTTCCAAATTTTATTATTCCGGGAAGGGGGGGGGGGGATTCAATATGTAAACAGTGTAAACCAAAAGCATTTTAAGATATTCTGGACATATTCAAGATGAAATTTGGGACATACTTGAATGTGTAACTGTCACTTAATGACAATTTCAAAGTTACGATGGCTTTGAAAAAAAATGATTTGTAACCTGTAAATTGTAACTGTAGCATTGCCTCCATACTCGCGAGATTGCAATTTCCAGCACTCGGCAACAGAGCTCGCATTTATGACTGGCTGTAACATCCATGTGATCACATTTTGCAACATGCCCATTTTGGGAAGCTGGATTTGCTTAATGACTGAATTCAATTAAGGTCAACACAATTCGTTTAGCAATTGTCGTAACAATTTTGTAAAATCAGCTCCAACTTGGCATGTAACAGAAATTCCAGTCCCAATTGGTGTCATAAGTTGAAGACTAACGGTAGGCCTGTTTAAAGGCTAAGCTAACGGCATTGTTTGGAAGATGTTTGGCAGGAAATTAAAACATTTCAGAATTTTCCAGAAGGATCTGTTTCCATACCATCACATTCCATATATCCCTATAAGCAGTGGTGGGATTCAGCCAGCTCACACCATTTTGGGAGAACCGGTTGCCAACTTTCTGAGCAGTTTGGTAAACTGGTTGTTGGAAGAAATCATTAGGGCAGAGAAACCGGTTGTTAAATTATTTGAATCCCACCACTGCCTCTAACACAGGCCGTAAGGCACCTCCATTCCTTATATAGCCTAAAAAAATGATTTATGTTCCTCTTTTCAACCAAAAAGAAAACATCATTAAAAAAACCCCAACATTTGCAAACCTTGCAGGTACCATATTTTAGCAATTCCCAAAAAGCTCAACCACAGGCCCAATTTTACATTAATCTGTCCTTTGATCATCCACCAAGTTTTGATTTTCAAACGTATCAGCTTCATCAAATGATCTGCTGCAGTCTGCTTTATGCGTTTATTGGCATAAATGCAAACTCCTCCAACTTTCTCTTACCTTGTGTTCAACGTTGTTCTGCTGCGCTTTGTCTAAATGGACCTTTATGAGCCGGCTGCCGTCCAGTTTTACACGGATTCTCTTGCCCACAATTTCACTGGGGAACACCAAGTCTTCAAGAATGGCATCGTGCACTGCAGTCAGCGTGCGGCTAAACAGAAGAGAAACGAAACATTTGCTACAGTGCCTTCAAATTTTACACAACTACTAAGGCAACAGTCCCCAAACCTTTACACCTTGGTGGCCCGGCATTGGGGAGGGTGGTGGTCGTGGCATGAGTGCCAGGCTCGTAGGCACTCAAATGGAGCTTTGTGCGTGAGCAGAGGCCCCTTGTGTGCGAAGTTTCACTTGCAATCAAGCGTGCTCTACTCGCAGAAGCAGAGAGTGCAGGGATCCATCACTCAGGCAAGTGAAGCTTGTCGCACACTTGCTCATCGCTCACACAGCCCAGTTTGAAACAGGCATGGCCTTTGGTTTGGGGACCCCTGTACATTTATTCAGTTTTAAATTACAACCGGTTATTTATGGGGAATGCTTTAAATCAGACATTCTGGTTCCAAAGCAACACTCCATTACCTAAACCAGTGTTTCTCAACCTTGGCAACTTGAAGNAGGCAACTATTCTGTCTTTTAAAACATGTTTCTTTCTTTTCACTTCCAGATAAATATTCTGCCTTTTCAATATTTCCTAGGATATTTAATTTTTCTGGGAGAGGGCTGGATGATAACTTCCCACAGGGGCAAATTCTAGCTGGTGCAATTTTGGCTAGAGTCAGAATATTTAGCTCATAGGAAAAATAAAGTCATGGACAGAAAGATTCTGCACAGTTCCTTCTTTAACACATTATATGCAGATATTTTAAACCCAGTAACATACCTATTCTAAGCTGGCACAGTCCTGGATACCAGGACCTCTTTCTGCAGGAAATGTGGATGATTTTATGGATTATTTCAGAAAAGCTCACTCAACAGCCTGTAGTATAAAGCTTCAGTAAAGTGCCCCTAGTCTGGCATAGACTACATTAGAAAACAGAAGAGCGGAATCCCCACTTTCCCCCCCTGCAAAGCAACATCAGCCTGGGACAGAAAGACACTTTCCTAATGTTTGTTTAATGCTTCTCCATGGTAGGCAATCTGAAGTTTCTGCATATCTTCTCGAACCCCTGCTGAACATTACTGAAAACATGATGTGCTTTCTTCCAATATTGAAACAGGAAAATTTCAACAACTATTACCTGTCCCCAAATAGGCTTAAAAGGTTTTTTTTAATTGCCAAATCCCACTAAGAGCCCTCCAGAATTTTTCCCCAAACTCATACTATAGCAACATCGTTGTTTCCCCTGTGGATCCTGCAAGCCCAACTGTTTATGGGAACATCCACCAAAAGATTGCCAGTCTACCTTAATATTACATCAAACAAGTGTCTTCTAAATTTACTGAGATAAGGTGCAAAGTTCCTATCTAAAATTTAAAAAGATGTTTGAATTAAACATCTAAATGAAGATATCCTTGTTCCTCCCTATCTTTTATCTTAAACCCACATGGCAAAAAACCCCTTAATAGCTTATACAATTGTATACAATGAATGGCATGCCACATCAGACTTGTAGCACCAAGTTGACCTTGGCTGATTTTGAAAAAGCAGAGACAAACCAGGGTAGTGTTTTGATGGGAGCCCATCAGGGGTATTCCAGAGCTACAATCTACCCTTGAGAAATTGATAAAACATTATAAAAGAAAAGATTGGGAATTTTCTCCATGAAGAAAACTGATAATTGTGTCCATGCATTCACCTGGATTTGTGTTCCCCTCAATCTTGGCATTTAATAATTCCATCTATCCCACCACAGTTTAAGACAGTCAATAGCTATTGTTTCAAGTTCACGCTTTCCAAACATAAAACTTATAAGTTCATGTAGTTTTGTAATTTCCCTTAATGCAGAGGTGTCAAAGTGACGGCTCGCAAGTCGGATGTGTCACACGAAAGCCAGGTCACACCCACCCCAGCTCCGCAAAGGGAAAAAATGTCATGAAACGTTACGTGACATCACGACGTGGCAAGTTTGACACCCGTGCCTTAATGCATGTTTTAAAGAAACAGAGTAAGTGGAGTTATTTTTTGTAAAGGGTATATAGTCTCAGAGCAAATGAATAGAGGCACTGCTGGCTACCTCATATGCTCGCCTCTTTCTCTTCATAAAGCAGTGTTTCTCAACCTTGGTGACTTTAAGTCCTGTGGACGTCAACTCCCAGAATCCCCCAGCCAGCTCTGCTGGCTGGGGGGGTCTGGGGGGTGACGTCCACAGGGCTTTAAGTCACCAAGGGTGAGGAACACTGCTTTATGAAG